CAGCCCATTTGTCCTCTTTCCTGAAGAACAAGAGCACTATAGAGAAGAACCACCACCCCCCAAGCTTCTTTTTGCATGCAGATAGGAATGATGGCCCTCTTTCCCCTACCAAAAGCCAGAAATGTGATGTTCAGTTGCTCCCTGGCTCCCTCTATCCTTGGCACAAGAGATATACGACTGCCATGAGCATTAGCACTCTCCTGTGATCCTTCTTGTGTCCTCTGCGCCCCCTGCAGAGCCAGCTACTGAGCATGCCCAACCTCTGAGGCATCTAACAGAGAGCACACATCAGAGGGAGTGTGTCTTGTGGGGGAGGAAGAGAGGAGTCGGGTGGGGAGAACATACTTCCGACGTTGGCAGGTCAGCACAGGAGGAGGCAGGCAGTACAGACGCAGGCAGAACTGCAGAAAGTTTTTTGATACACTCATGGACGGACTCTCCAAAGGCTTGAGAAAGAGGTGGGGGGGATGAGGGGACCCCTTTTGTTTCCAACAAATTAAAACACTGCCCAAGTGCGCCCAAACAGGGAAGGTATTCTGGTCCTTGCACATTTTTTTTTCAAAAGAAGAGTCTATGTGGGAGGAAGCCTGTGCTTGTGTGTGTTGGGGGGGAGGAGGAAAACTCTTTCACTCTGCACAGCATTGGTTGGCCCTCCCAGCAGCCCCCTCCTCTCCATGCAGGCAAAGAAGGGAGAGGGTATCTGTTCTTGCGCTAGCAATATTCCCAGAGGCTCTAGTTTGAAAACAAAGCAACATGTTTCCCATACACCTCCTCTAGGGAGGCAGGCAGTCTGTTCAACCTCTGGGGAAGGAGGTAGAGGACCCAATATGCCACTGTGTTTGTATGCATGTATGAGTATATTAGAGACATACACAGCAAAAGAGGCAGAAAGGTAATTTTTCAAAGAGACATGTGTGAGCAGTATTGAATATTCGTGGCATGCTTTTTCTTTTTTAGAAAATAGATGCAGCTGTACAGCTAGAGATCTGAGAGGGAGAGCTGTTTTTTGGGGGGAGGTGCCACATTTAGACTTCCCCAAACACCTATTTCTTATTAGGATAGAGAGTTACCTGTCCTCTAGGAAGCAACGGCTTTGCTACAGCCCAGACAGATGCCCAAACCTGGAGAGGTGACCTCCTCACCTCGCCTTACATTGTTCTCTAACAGGGCAGGGAGGCAACCTGGCCCCGCAGATAATTTTCAATTACATTTCTCATGATCTGTTATTACTGGCCATCTTTACACTCATTTGCAAGCCACTGCCACGGAGCAGGTTTCACACACAGTGCTTCAAGTATCTATGCAAACAAGAAGTCAAGACAATCTGGAGAGACAGGAGTCTGTTCACCATGTGGCCGTTGACCATATGCAACAACAAACCAGATCAACCATCGGTTGAGATGAAGAACAGAGAAATATTGGCTTCAGCTGAAGGAATAAACTCCAACTATCCATTATGACATAAGGGCATTTAGAAGAAAGCAAGAAAATTTAAGGTTTCCAGCAGGAAGAAATAACTTGTTCCTCTAAAGTCCTAAAGGTATGGAGGAATTTATTCTCCTGACTTTCGCCTGCTCTGTAATGCAGTTTTGTAACTGCTGGATAGCTCAGTGGTTTAAGGCAATTGGCTGCACAGCCAGAGGCTGGAAGTTCGATTCCCCACTGTGCCTCGGTGACAAGGGCTAGAACCGATGACCCACGGGGTCCCTTCCAGCGCTACAGTTCTAAGATTTACTCACTGGATCCTATACTTTGTCTAGAGGTATACCTCCTGAACTAGTCAGGTTTTCCAGAACAGAGAACAGGGACACCCCACCGATTCCTCATCAACATTTCATGAGCCTCTGCTATGCACGGAGGGTTCCAAGTCATGTGAACACATTGACAGCATAAAGGACACAGTCTCCACAGGCAGATAGTGATGAGGAAGCAGCACGGACCAGCCTGTACTGAGCCTATGCTGAATGCCACCATAGGAACTACAGGGGATGCGCTACCATTTTCAGCAAACTTCAGTATCCTAATTGGCTTTTTATCTTAGGTGGGTCTTTGCTCAATGTTACGAAACCGTGTTTCTACGATGGAACATTCTAGCAATAGATTTGCAGAGTGCCACAGACCTTAAAAAAAACAGTGTGAAGTGTTTTAAACAAAGAGTTCATGTGCCCATGATCAGGAATCAATTTTACTGGAGCACTATTTCAAAATATAAGATGCCCCCATGTATAAGACACCCCGCACACACTTTTCTAATCCAGAATTAAGAAATCTAAGTGGGGCTTAGCAAGGGTTGGGGGAAAGGGATCAAAGCGCTGCAGGATTGCTTTGATCCCTGCTTTCCCCTCCACTTGTTTTTGTTTTCTCCTCAGCTTACTTCCGTGTATAAGATGACCCTCAATTTTTAGTCTAAAGATTTTAGACAAAAGTATAGTCTTATACACAGAAAAATACAGTGCTTTATTGATGGATCAGTTGTGTACTTTTATAATCTAGAGGACTTATCTGCACCCAGAATGGAGCCACCCTTACCAACAAAAGGGAACAACTAGCAGAGGCCATTAGCACAACCTGTCCTTCAGCTTCACACCAGCCTTGCCTCTGGCTCAGCAAATATGTTGTGAGAAGAGTGATATCCGTGGAAGCCAGCATCAATGGAAGGTTGCAACCATGCCGTTTGGGAATGAATGGAAAGGTAGTTCAACCCAGGGGCGCCACACCGGCGCTTCATCCTTGAAGTCAAGTTATAGAGTACATTTGCAGCAGAATGTGTACGCTGCAGATTTATAGATCCCAAACACCCTTGCCTCCATTTTGCAAGCTGATGTTAAAAACACATATGCAGTTGCCAGAAATATGTTTCACACATAGATCTTAATAAATGAGTGGTGGAGAAGGGTCAAAAATCACTCTGGTCCAATTAGCACAGCCCTCACCCTTCACACTTGCAAACAAGAGATTGCATTAACACCTGCCACAAAAGCAAACATTTTTAGATAACTTCATTTCAACCTCCCTGACGCTGTCTGCAAGCTTCCCACCTAGCATTGCTGTGGAAATTATGATGAGTGACAGTACCTATTTTTCTTAAGAGAAAAAAAGGGGGGTTGCTCTAATCTTCAGTATCAGCATTTCAAAGTCTCCTTTCAACATTTGTGCATAATTCACATTAATGATAATAGGCACTCTGCATATGGAAGAATAGATTCTTTAAATGCTAAATTGTTCAAGGGAAATCATTATGATTATCGGAAATGAATGTCGCGCACGAACACAGAACGTACACTACAGGGCCCTTGAAGGATCTTCAACGACATACGTCTGGCGTGGCATGTGTAAGGAACTCCTCTGTGGTCTATGCATCAAAATAAACTAAGCTCTTGAGCCTTCACATATATTTATAACATCTGTGCAGATAGAAGAAACAGTTCTTTGCCTTCTTTGGAAGGGGAGGGCAAACAGCCCCACAGCTGTATCAGAAATACATCCCTTTTGATTGGAGCAATATATATTTTTTTACCTGGGTCTTGTTCCCAATAAAACCAGGCTTGAAAGCAAGAAAGGTCTCACTGGTGAACACAAGACATGTAAATGTAAAATGTGAATATCTGAAAAAGTAAACCTTTCAAAACTGTTTACATTTTTTAAAAAAACTTGAGAAAGCACATTAGAAAAAGTTAAACAGAAAGACTGAAATAAAACTTCTCTGGCATTTTGTTTTGACAGTGTGCCTCAGAAATCCACCACGTTTAAGCAAAGGAAATGGGAACAATTCGATGTCATGACATGCAAAATTGAGGCAGGATTGCTTCTAAGTGGCTGGCAACCAGCAAGAGTTTTTCGCTTCCACCTTCCCCGTGCCAGATAAAGCTGAAAATGTATGGCATAAAGTGGAAGATCTTGTCAAAAGTTTCATTTTAACAGGGGAGAAAATGGGACAGGAAAGGGACAAGTCGTCATTAAGGCTTTTTAAGCAGCTTTTGAAACGCAGCGAATTGCTGCCTTCTGAACCAGGGGATTCTTACAACGCTGTCAGTGGGAGCCTCCCCAAGGTGAGAAAAATAAGTGTTTGAAACTAATGTCCCAAGTACCAAAATTTAAGACTGGGGAAGGCACAATGGAAAGAGTCTGCACTGAGCTTTCCCAGTTTCTGCATCCTAAAGAAATGCATGCTTGCAAAGAACAGAAAACCACCCTAGCTGGTTTCTTGGTATGGATGCTGAGGCCACCTTAGCCTCTTGGAGAATGAGCGACTCACTGTTTCATCAAAAATGTATCCATGGTTAGATTCAGATTAAAAAAAAATCTGAGCTTGAGCTCATCCATAAACCATAGTTTTCTGGGGACTGATAACCAGAGTCTGAAAGTGAACTGCAAACTACAATTTATGCTGGCTGTGGTTGTCTGTTATGTCCAGATTCACAAAGCAGTGGGAAGCCACACTGAAAGCCACAGCTCTGCTGCATGGGAGACATGGCTGAGAATGTGGTAACTCAACAGATGGGAATAAAACCAGACCGGGATCTCAAACTGATGGTTTAACTACTGTAGGTCTTGAAGCCCAACCACAGTGTATGTTCTTAACTGTTGTTTCAAATTAGATTTGGACTCTGCCAAGATATTGATCAGGGAGCAGATCACATGCAACCCAACAAGAGTCATGCCTGCTTAATTAAAACAAAATAGCTTGATGGTCATTCATATAACACATGTGTTTTGGACAGCTAGCATGGGTGCTTCCCTCACCCAAGACAGAGTTGCAAAGTCCATGCTGCTAAGCTATAAGGATCCTGGTTGTTGCAGCATGGCGATCAAACCACACAGAAGCAGCAATCACATTTTACTGGTGCATAAGTATCAGTCCCTTAAAAATAATGTATTTAAAGCGACATGTGTAGAATGGCAGTACAAAATATTATCCATCCAGTAGGAAAGGTCAACATCAGAAAGGAAGCAGAGAGAAGCAAGTACCCAATGAAAAGAAAGACTGTAGGTGTTCTTACCAATCATATGATTTGCGACATGGATCTGTATCTCTCTCTCATTCTCAAAGGTCATCTGACACTTGATGCACTGATAGGTCTTTTTCTGTTTAAACAACAAAAAGCAATAAGAGAACTTTGTAGCAGAAAGCAAGAACAGGAATCACCAGTATTGCCCTCCATGCTTTGAAATCCCTCTTTCTCACAAACATAAACATTAAGGGTGCTACACATAATCAGAATTTAACTATGAAGACCCAAGCGATGGCAAGACAGCTTGGCCATTAGAGCAGGACACAATGCTGCTTCCCACGTTACTATTTGACTTTGTGTGTACAGGACATTTAAGATGTCTATGTGAAGATGTTACGGGACATGCAATTGACATTGTGGTTGAGACATACATACATGTCACCAAGTTGCCTGGGATGTATCCCTACAAGTAACTCAAAACACCTGATAAGTGCAGCACATGTGAGAAAGTGATGGACATCATCTGTCCAAGCAGATTTTCTGTCTATGTTCAATTTTCTTTCTGTTTCTACTGTGTGCTGTTGTACCAGAAAAATACCCCCCAAAAGCAATTTTTTTGTAATGAAAGAGTTTTACAGCAACTTAAAGAGAACTCATTTTCAGCTTTTCATGGACTACAGGCGTGAAAATCACTTGTGTGAAATGACTGACAGACGGAAAAACAGACAGACACGAACAAACACACAAGCACATAGAGAAGAGTGGTTGTTTCTGCAGCTGTTCAAATATTCCACCAAGTTATTACCTTAGGATTTTGAACAAAAGAGAGGACTCACAGGATTACTCAGTTCCCTTTGCACACAGCTGAGTACTTTTATCACAAAACTGTAATACGACCCTTCACATGTAGTGCCTACTAAGTTTCGTACTGTAACTCATTTTCATGCCCAGCTCCAGTTGATGTGGACAATAGTAAGATACCATGGAAGTTGGCATCCAAATTCCCTGGAAGACTCCAAATTGGGGGAAGATGCTGCAATGCATACACTACTGCAAGAGTTGATGAACAAACTTCCAACAGTGATTTAGACAAAAAGCGCCAAGTACTCACAACTAAGCCACCTAGAGTGGTCGTATTGACCAGATAGGCGGGGTAC